CGCGTTCTGTATATATATTCTTTGTCCTAACCCAGTTTTTCATCCTGAGTGTATGTAGATTGGTATTTCGATTTCTCATGTCAGTAATTTTGAATGTGCAACTCATGGTTGAGGCTGTATAGAATATTCGACCCGATCGAAATTAACGATTAAATTTTTTCCTGCTAAATAAAGACCAACAATCATGTCTATGTTCAGACGTACATGTGTAAATCGACTCAAAATTTTCTGAAACGGATTTGGTCCAATGAAACATGGGGTCTAAAACCAATATTTCGATGTGGCACATTTTCACCGTATCAAAGAGTATATACCCACATTAGAAATAAGGCTGAAAGTATAAAAAACATATATTTGCTATACAATGTGTCTTAAACTGGATCCATAAAATTACAACACAAGAAATAATGGGTCGATTACGGATTTGAATTATGGATGGCAACTGTTGTCAACTTCAGTTGCTTCAAATATAATTTTTCGGCAACCATTTATTTCTGGTTGCTGTTTAGTCTTGTTTAGCAATAAGAACTGACATTTGGTTATATTCGGATATAACACCCGGGAAGTTTGTTTTCGAATAAAAAAAATATTCTTCCCCTTTTCCTCCTCTGTTAAATTGGGAACAATTTAACTGCCAAGATTGAAGTCATTTCCTCCGCAAAAAACCTCTGAGCTGCACACACTTTAAAAAGAGAAGGAATTTCTCCAGCAAACAAAAACTTGCCGCAAGTAAACTCGCCTAATCTAAATTGGGACTGAGAAAAGTTGATATTCATAATGTTAAGTTTTATGTCAGTGGCGTTGCCAGTTGAAATCTCCATGATCGACCCATAAATTGAGAATTACGGCTAATATCTGTTTTCTGTTTTTTTTTTAATTTCGAATGAATATGGGTCCGTTTGGAGCGTTATTTAGAACATTTTATATATTTACAAACGCTAATGCATATACATATATATATATTTGAGCGGCCCAATTTTTTGTCAATTAAATCCAGCCCCTAGGATGATTCTATGGACACTTCTAAATAACTTTGGTTAAGGAACCATATGTCTATCTATATTCTCAAGTCTCCCACCGTTCATATAAAACATCATTTTGATTCAAAATTCGATTTTTTATTCATTGTTATATACATATACATACCAGAAGGAAAGGACTAATGGGTCACATTTTCGTACTCGATCTAGGTAAAGAAAATTGGTTGTGCAATGTTCGGTTCAATCGGACATTGGATTTAAAAATATCTCACATTTTTGCCATTTGTGGAGGAGATATTAGAAAGAGTTGGCCAATGGGTTCCATCTTCGGACTTGATCTAGGCTTGGTAATTATAATAGGTTGTATAAATTTTGGTTCAAATGGGATAGTCCGTTTGCATGATATTATAAAATTAAATTTCAGCAAAATGTTGGGTTGCAAAATGTTGAAGGAGTGAACCGATATCCCCCATCTTCGAACATAAACTATGTTTGGAAGAAATATTATAATGTGCACAGTTTTGACGAACTCGGTTATTCCATTCGAAAAGTTATCGTGCGCACCAGCCAGACAGACATTTGTAAATCGACTAATTGTCTGAAACAGATTTGGTCCAAAGAAACATGGGGATTGTTTTACCACATATGTTTCGAATTTAAAGAGAAAATGACATCATATGTACATACACAAAAAATTATAATAGTTTAATTCTCTGTTCAAACAGCATCCTTACATCTACATAAATATCTTACGAATGATTTAATCAATCAACTGGATAACTAAAATCAAAATAATTTACAAGTTATGATGTAAAATAAATATGTAAATATATGGTTTCGATTCCTGTAAAATTGGGTAACCCTGGTAACCCTTAAATAAAAAAGATGGATCTCCATTATATTTTATATTCCCACTTTTTCCTTTTTTCTCTCTCACCCATAACACATAACATTTGAAGCTTTTGAGCTTTCGTCGTTCGCATCTCCATTGATGCTAAAGGTATTACTATTTCAGGCAGCCAGGATAAAAGTGCAGGCATGGCTATTTGGCCAAATGATACACAGAAAAAGCAACAACTTCACTATCGCATCTAATATTAACTCAGCCGACAACAATAAACGTATAAACCTTTTGGCAAAAATAGTTTCTTGTCCTTTCTCTTCACAGAGAGTTTTCATGTGTGTATGTGTGTGTGTGTGAGGAAGAATAAGAAACAGAAAACAAGTATAAGAAAATCAAAAAGGAAAACGTGCATGCGCTGTAGCATTTATCGTGAAGATGAATGAGATGTGAATCCTGCTGCCCGTTTTTTCTGGTTTGTTTCGAAGCCAAAGGACTCGCACACACAGTTCTGCATTAAATGTATGGATGGGTCTACGTTTTATGTCTATTCGTAGCAATTTCTGTGAAGTTGGTTTTTTGTGTCTGTATCCTTTGATGTTGGTCCCATTTTGACTTGTAGTAGTAGTGGCAGACACACACACACACACAGAAACGTATGCACAATGCGAACACAGACAGACTGGCATCGCCAATGGATGAATAGAGCTTTTTTGTCTTTCATTCATTAAAATTTAGAGTGTAAGGTTAGGGTTGACTCCCTGCACAGCCGAAGTAAATACGAACGAACTTTTCCTATTCACTGTTTTACTGCAGAATACACGACAAAGAGTCGCATTGACTACGTGCTTCAGTTGCCACTGATGTTCTTGCTCTCGCAAATGAAGTCGTACACACACCATCATACCACTATTTATGCGTGTGTGTGTGTTATTTCGCAGGAACATAGTTTGCTTGTAATGTAAGTCTCATATTATTCGTACGAACAAATACGAGCAGAAAAATAGCTTCGTTTTAGGAGATTTTGTTGTAAATAACCAACAAGCCCACGCAAAATAGAGAATCGATTGAAGATGGAAACGAATCCAAAATTGAAGTCACTTTTTTTGTGAAACGTACTTAATGACTTTGAAATTTGTCACACTGAAACAAGAAATACATACGAGTATGTATGTATGTAGGGATATGCGTAATTGATGTTCTTAAATTTGTTCCGCCTATAATACACATGAAATATTTTAAAAGTGGATTCCAATGTGCAAATAGAAATATAATGGTGAAAGTGTTCCACTAAATCCAATCTTCGCACTTTATATTTATATCAAGTTGGGAAACTCGTGCCAAATAATGCGAAATAACTTATTATTACAGCAAAATTGCTGAAATTTGGTATAAATATTGTTAAAATACCCGAATGAATTGTATGTCCAAAACTCTTTGATAGAACTATTTTTTTCCAGTTCTCTCTCTTTGATCAATAAAAATTATTCATAATAATTTGGAGCAAGCTGACCATTGCTCATATTTTCGATTAAACCCCATAAAGGTAGTTTCAGGTCCCAGTTACCACAGGATTGTATAATAAGTTTTTCGTTACTTTCTTCTTCCATAACTGGAACCTCATGAAAAATTTCAAAGCGATCAGCGCTATATTTTTGCCTTCTAGTGTGGTAATGGGTTACTAAATAATATCTGAATACGTAAGCACCTGTAAATATTTATGTGTAACTTCCACATCCGAGTACATATGACAATATAATTGGTATCAATTTAAATGTCAATCACTCCTCTTGGATATACTATCAACTTCTCGGGTCTATGTCCCTCAGGGGTAAATTTATATGCTATAGAACATACATTTTGCCATTTGATCTACTAAATATTGACCAATCTTTATCAAAACAGGCATACTTATTCTTTGGACCGATCCCCTTTTCCATGTAAAAACTCGAGATGCTTGGGTCATAATTGCACCCTCTGGAGCGACCAGAAAATCAGACAAAAATAAAGTTTTTGGTCCATTTCATCTCCTAAATAATAACCGATCTTTACTTAAAATGGGGGTCTTCATTGTCCAAAACTCGTCCAACATGCAAAATTTCGTGAATATTGGTCCATAACTGTGGCCTGTATCGTGTTTACAAATTATAATGGACAGACGGACGGACGGACACACATTTCTAGATCGATTCAGCTAGTCGAAATATGACGATCGGTAAAGGTGGGTCTAGCACCAATATTTCGCGGCGTTACAAACTTTTGGAGCTGCACAAAGCTATAATACCCTGACGACATAGTTGTGTTAACTTGTTTATAGTCCGAGCCTCGATAAATCTTTTAATGTGCATTTCATTGTACTATTTCTACCAAACTTGGTTCAAGTTCGAAGATGAGGAATATCTTCTGGTACTAAAAATTAATTTTACAATATCGTGCAATCGGACCAATTCCGAAAATGAGACCCATTGGTCCACTCCTTCTGGTACCTTCCTCATAAATGTTCAAAACTTTTTTATAATAATAACATATACCTTCTATAAAGCAAAACAAAGGATGAGGGAATATATCAATCGGTAACACCGACTGACACTTTTTTTCTTGTATGTTATAGAGATCAAGTGGTATTCATTTTCAGTCATAGCCCATAAACACTACTTTGTAGTAATGGCCTCATAAGGCTCGCATATGACCACTATACCAATTCTAGCTCTAGCAAATATTTTGTCTCACTTGTTGTAAAGTTCGCACAGTGTTCCTTCCTAATACACACCATAGCTACATACACATAAAATATTGGCGGGTCAAAAATACTCCTCAAAAACATAAATTTTCATTGAGTAAATGGATAAAGGACCCGTCCAGATTTTGAATAACCCTCTCCACTCATTTGTATCTATGTCTAATAACATCTTCCTTCCTATTTCTTTTCCTGCTACTTTCAGTTCTTGGTGATGATGGCGAACCCTTTTCAACGTTGCATCATTTCGGATCTGTAATTAAATATGGCACACCAAAACATTTCCTAGATGATCCCAATTATCCGCATGATAATGCCGACGCCGCTTATCAACAACAACTGCAGCAGCATCATCAGCTGCGTTCGGCGGGTGGAGTTGCATCGAGTGGGCGGGTAAAAACCAGTAGTCAACAGCAAAAGAAACAACCCCATCCCAAAGACTATGAGGACTACGACCAGGGCGATCATTTATATACCGAGTATGGAATTCACCCGTCAGATGGTCCGCCTCATGACTTGGATGAAGGTGTGTATGCACTGCCGGGTAACCGCCCGGGTTATCCACGCAGTGGTGTGTACAATGTACGAGATTCGGCAGGTCGTCGTGATTCGTCACGTACCCGTGACATAATGATGAGTGGTCTCCTGGCCAAAATGAAAGTTTTTCGCCCGCACGTCACTCTGGTGCAAGACGAAGCACGTCTGGCCAGTTCCAACGATGGCACCGGCCGAAGCTGTCCCAAAGTGTGCGGCGACATGCAATGGCAGTGCATCACCAATTGCAACTGCATACACGCGGCCCAGCGCTGTGACAAAATTCCGCAATGCGACGATGGTTCGGACGAGTACGATTGTGCGGAACCGCAGGACATTTCCGCCATGTCCACCAGAGAGTGTGAACAGAGCGGCCTACACATCATGTGTCCGAAAACGGGTCAATGCATTAACAAAGACTGGCTGTGTGACGGCGATGACGACTGCGGTGACTACTCCGATGAAACGAAATGTGGAGAGCGAGCCGAGTGCACGGATGAAATGTTCCAGTGTGGCAATGGTTTCTGTGTGAAGAAGCAGTGGGTGTGTGATGGCGAAAATGATTGCCGAGACTTTACGGACGAAATGAATTGTAATCGTACCAGGTAGGTCAAGGTTGTCAGATCGGTGCGGTGCGGTGGCAAAATAATATTAAACGTGTATTTGTATTCCATCTCTTCCGTCCAGCTGTTCCAGTGAACATTTCACGTGCGATAACGGAAATTGCATATCAATTGCCTTCCGTTGTGATGGCGAACCCGACTGCCCGGACAACTCGGACGAATTCAAATGCCCTGCTGTAATAAACAGCTGTCCCGAAGGTGAGTTCAAATGTCGCGGTGGAGCTGGTGGTGCAGCCGGACCCGGTGGCCGTTGTATTCTAACGCGGTTCGTCTGTGATGGCGAAAACAATTGCGGCGATTGGAGTGATGAAGAAAATTGTCCCCAGAAACCCACCCAGTGTAGTTCGAGCCAATTCAAATGTGCCGATGGCAACTGTATTCCGCTAAGTTTCAAATGCGACAAGGATCAGGACTGTGATGGTGGAGAAGACGAAAATGAATGTGGCCACATGAACACCGATGTTGTCTCGACATGTTCCAGCAATGACTTTTCATGCAACAATGGCCGTTGCATTTTGGTAAGATGGACTTAAAATGACGAAGGCCGAAGAGGATTCTCATAATCAAATTGTTGCTATCTTCCTCTAGCGTACCTGGTTGTGTGATGGTTACCCGGATTGTTCATCCGGAGAAGATGAAGTCAATTGTCACTTGCAATGTGATGATGGACAATTTCTTTGCCCTGCCAAGAAGAATATGACCACACTGAAGTAAGAGCACCCCAAGCCTTTTGACAACAGATCCGACAATCACCCGTTTTCTTTTTTCAGGATCTGCATTCATCAGAAACACATCTGTGATGGTCACAGCGATTGCCCGTTGGGAGAGGATGAAATGAACTGTCCCCACTTTAGGCCCTGTACACCAGATTCGGAATGTGAACATCATTGCATTATAACAGCCCAGGGACGGGACGAATGTGCCTGCCGTCTGGGTTTCCTCATGCATCCCAATAGAAAGAAGTAAGTAACGTAGATCCCATTCACGGATATGTGTCCAGAAGTGTGTATAAATGTGTGTCTGGTCTATCCATCATTTCAGTTGTATCGACATCGACGAGTGCAAATACCAGTCGAATCCGGTGTGCTCGCAGATATGCGAAAATACCCATGGTTCGTTCAAATGTTCCTGTGAAGAAGGTTATGCATTGCGTCCCGATATGAGAACATGCAAGGCCTTGGGCGGACCGTTGACTTTAATTGTGGCTAATCGTTGGGATATTCGTCGTGTCTCTTTGAGTCATAACCGCTACTCGGCTGTGGTTAAGGGCCTCCACAATGCCATTGCTTTGGATTACCACTACAAACGTAATCTGCTATTTTGGTCCGACATCTCTACGGATGCCATTAAAATGGTCTACATGAACGGCAGTCTGATGCGGGATGTCATTAAATGGGGCTTGGAGTCCCCCGGCGGCATTGCTGTTGACTGGGTTCATGATTTGCTGTTTTGGACTGACTCGGGCACCAGAAGAGTTGAAGTTTCTAATTTCGAGGGTAACTTGCGATCCGTGATTGTGTCCAATGATGTGGACAAGCCTCGCGCCATTGTGGTGCATCCTGGAGAGGCCACTGTCTTTTGGACGGATTGGGGTCCAAATCCCAAAATAGAGCGAGCTTTTATGGATGGTTCGGAGAGACAAACGATTGTTGCGCAAGGCGTTATATGGCCCAATGGCTTGACCATAGACTATCCCAGCCGCAAATTGTATTGGGCCGATGCCCGACAACATGCCATTGAGTGCGCCAATTTCGACGGAACCGCGCGTACAAAGATTCTCAGCACTCATCTACCTCACCCGTTTGCCATGACTATTTTCGAGGACACCATGTTTTGGACGGACTGGAATACAAAGACCGTCTCATCGGCGAATAAACTCACCGGTAAAGGATTTGGAGCGGTTCATGAAAATTTCCACTTCCCTATGGACATTCATGCCTATCACCCCGTACGACAACCCGACTACAAGGATCGTTGTCCAAGAGATAGTGAGGGTCGTCGAGGAGGATGTTCCCATCTGTGTCTGCCCAACCGCGAATCGAGACGTTGTGGATGTCCCATTGGCCTGACGTTGAAGGAAGATGGTCGCACTTGCAAGAGCGCTCCAGATGAATTAATATTGGTGGCTCGTCGAAAGGACATACGCCTAAGGCAGTTGAATAGCGAGAAGTCGTCGTCATTTGGTGATGTAGACATGATCATTCCATTGGATAATTTAAAGCATGCGGTGGCCTTGGACTGGTCCAGTGAGACAGATACAATTTACTGGACGGACGTTGAGAGGAGTACCATCAACAAAGCCCACCTAAACGGCAGCTATCAACAGAAGATAATACGATCCAATCTTGTGGGTCCCGCAGGTTTGGCCCTGGATTGGCAAACTCACAAACTGTACTGGACCGACCAAATAACATATCGCATCGAAGTGGCCACCACCAATGGCAAAATGCGTACGCTGCTGATCTGGGAAAATCTGGAAAAACCTCGCGACATTGTTGTGAATCCGGTGGACGGATTGATGTTTTGGACCGATTGGGGCAAACAACCCATGATCGAAAGTGCCCATATGGATGGCAAAAATCGCAAGGTATTGGTTTCCAGCAACATTAAGTGGCCCAATGGTCTGGCCATTGACTACGAACATCAGAAATTGTATTTTGTGGATGGTGGTACCAAGGTCCTTGAGAACATTAACTTTGATGGTTCCGGTCGAAAGGTGATAAAAGGTGAGTTATATTACCAACTGAATATTAAGGGACGAGAATAAAACCATTTATGTTTACAGAGGGCTTGAGTCATCCCTTTGGTCTGGATGTCAGCGGTTCACGTGTGTACTGGACGGATTGGGACACGAAGTCGGTATCCAGTGCGGATAAATTAACTGGAGGCGATGTTACCACCATTATAGCCAACACCAGTGATCTCATGGACATCAAGGTGTTCCATCGTTCACGCAGAAGGGTACGAAATGCCTGTGATTCCGGAAATGGTGGCTGTTCGCATCTGTGTCTCTTGAATCCAACGTCCTATACATGCGCCTGTCCCGTGGGCATTACGATACAGGCAGATGGACATACCTGCTCGTCGGGTCCCAGTTCGTATATTATATTCGCCCATCGCATTGACATTCGTCAGATATCACTGGATTTTGACCATTTGGTTGATGTGGTGCTGCCATTGCCGCCCATTTCAAATGCTGTTGCTTTGGACGTGGATCTGAAAACTGGTGAAGTTTATTGGGCCGATTCCAAAGAGCCGATTATAATGAGTTCAACGCCGGACGGTGTTAATGTGAGAAGGATCGTTTACGACAGCATTGATAATCCGGATGGTTTGGTTGTGGATTCTGCAGGAAGGATGGTAAGGGAGCGAATACACTGAGAAGGATAGGCAACAAATATTAAATATTATCTTTGCCCTCTTTCAGATTTATTGGGCTGACGCTGGTCGTCACACCATAGAAGTGGCCACACTGGATGGCAAACACCGCCATTTAATTGCATGGAAAGATCTGGAATCACCACGCGGTTTGGCATTGGATTATGAGGCGGGATTCCTGTTTTGGACTGATTGGGGTCATTATCGCAAAATTGAGCGTGCCGACATGGATGGCGAAAACCGTCAACGCATTGTCACCTCCAATTTGGGATGGCCCAATGGCCTGTCATTGGATTTGAAGGCCAAGCGTATTTACTGGGTGGATGCCCAGCTAAAGACCATCGATTCGTGCGATTATACCGGCAACCATCGCAAACGCATAATGGCCTCGCTGCTGCATCCGTATGCATTGGCCTTGACGGAGAACTCTATTTACTGGACCGATTGGAAATCGAAAGCTCTGCATATGGCCGATCGCAGCAATGTGACAAATAGGAGCGATGTCATGACCAACATTGACGGCCTCATGGATATCAAGGTCATATCGACGAATAAAACCTTGCCGGAAAATGTGTGTGGCAGGAACAACGGAGGCTGTTCGCATTTGTGTTTGCGCAACCCCTCCGGCTATTCGTGTAAATGCTCGATTGGTCTGCGTCTCCGGAACGGTAGCACCACCGAGTGTGAATATATGCCCGAAGACTATTTGCTAATTGCCCTGCGTTCTGGCATCGGTATGATTTCCCTCAATACGCCCGATCTGATGGATGTGGTGCTGCCCATACATGGCGTTCACGGAGCTGTGGTATTGGATTATCACTACACAAGGAATTGGATGTTTGTGGCCGATGTAAATCTGGATGTTATACGGCGGATTAATTTACGCGATTTGAGTGAAAGCAAAGTGGTGGTCAATGAGCTAATGACACCCAATGGCCTGGCGGTGGACTGGATAGCCGATAATTTGTATTGGTCTGATTCGGATTATAAGTTTATTGAAGTGTCACGCTTGGATGGTTCGTGTCGCAAACGTTTGATAAGTGACAATATGGGTGATCCTAGATCACTGATTGTACATCCAAAGAAGGGGTATGTAAAAAGGGATTGTTTGTAGAATGGAGTTGTTCATTTGCTATTTTTTCCTAAAGATATTTATTCTGGGCCGATTGGGACTCTCCATCTCGCATTGAACGCAGTCTGTTGGATGGGTCAAATCGCACTGTTATCCTAACCGATAATTTGGGTTTTCCCACAGGATTAACAATTGATTTTGAGTAAGTATTGAAATCTGATATTGAAAGAAGTCAGTTCGGAAAATATTGGGTCTGTTTGATTGCAGGAACCGACGTTTGTTGTGGGCCGATGCTTTAGAGGACAATATTGGACAATCGGATTTCAATGGCAAACGAAGGACAGTTATTGTTCAGTACGCTCCACATCCATTTGGTTTGACAATGGTACGGATAGATTCGATGGAGATTCGTTTCAAAATAAAGTTGTACGTCTCATTTGTTTTCTCTTCTCATCCACATGCAGTTCAAGAACAATATTTACTGGACCGATTGGTATAATAAATCTGTATTTAGATCGCATTTGAAAGACCACATGATTTATTCCCAACCTGTGGAAATACGCAATTCCTTGAGCGGTGCTTTGGATATACGTGCCGTATCACGTAGACGTCAGCCTGAGGAGTGGAATCAATGTTCCCAAGATAATGGCGGCTGTACACATTTGTGTCTGTTCCGTGGTTCCAATTACACCTGCGCCTGTCCAGACCGTCCTGATGGCCGTGAATGTTTAACGGTGCCGAAATTCTTTGTACCACGACGATCCGACGAAGCAATGCCCGATTACACAGACGAAGTCACTGAAGCCGACCTCAGTCCAATTAATGATGATTTCGATGATGACGATTTCCAGGCACCAGAACAAATGATTGATCTCAAAGTGGTTATTGTCATTGCCACCATAGTGGCATTGATATTCCTATTTATAATGATAGCAGTGGTTATATGTAAGTACCTGAATGGTGTGAATTTTAAATTGATTCATATATTCGGCACCAACACATACCACAGGTGTAAGATAGGGGATATACCACATTTTCCTAAAATGAAATGCATTGTTCATATAGCCGTATAAATAACTTGAAGTATTCGCAACTATAAGCCTGAAAGCAATCATTGAATGGGTACACAACAAACATTCTTGCAGAATTGTCTGGAATGCTGATACCAGAACTGATATTTTCATAGATCCTTAGTACAATGGCCAGTGCTTAGCACATATACGAGCAACATATCATTGGAAGTGAGCATTTGGTACAATTTTGGCATTAGTTGTTCCATTCAGTTATATGCGCCTATTCAGTGATCAAAAGAACCTTACTACATAATAAATAGTATTAAAGTTCTTTTGAAAAATAGGGTATTCTTAAAAAATAGATAATTTTTCACATTCGCAGGACACTCAACAATCAATTTAAACTTAACTCTTAAGGTTCAAATTTCATAAAAATAGAATTTCACGAAGTCTGCATATGAACATCTTTATTTAGCCAATAGACAAACGAAAATAAGGGGACTCAAGACACTAGATTTGTCAGGGAATTTACAACACGATTAGCTTTTTACTTTTAATAATTTAATTTCATTTCAGACATGATAACTCCCGCCAAACATCCACAACCTAAACGACATTCACGTGGATCCAGCCGCTCTGTACTGACCTTCTCCAATCCCAATTATAATGTTGATGGTACACCCATGGAACCGAAGACGACCATTTGGAAACGTTTCAAAAACGATCGTGCACATGTAAGTCACTCCCCGTACTCAGATCCGAACAAATGTCAATCCCTGGAAATGTCTCTGTAGAACACCTAGCCAACATTAATGAACCTTTTTTCTCGAACCAAATTTAGGAGCGGGTCTATGAGGAGCGCAGTTTAACAACGGAAACGGGTTCGTCGTCAATGTTTGTACCGACGCCCTCGCCAACAGCCTCGCCCTGTGCCAACAAACTACAGCTGTCCACTTTATCGACGATAGCGTAAACAACACAATTTGTTTCCAATTTTCACCCGAAATTCTAATGTTCTCAACTTCTAATTCAAGGTCAAAGACCTGGTTTTCTTTTTACATTGCATTATCAGTAATATTATGACTAAAAATATATAGTATTTGCATAGGGTGTCCCACACAGGTGGCATCTAAGTTTTTAAGCAATATCCTTTAGATCTAGGATATATACAATTTAAACAAATATAGATTTCCTTCTGAAACTTTTGAAAAAAAACACAACTCATCTTACAAAAGAACAAAATAAAAAAATAATTTTTATATTTTATTTTCATTTTTAAAAGAGGGACGTTTGTTCAATTTTTTATTTTACTCCCTCCCCCAAACACAAAACAAAAGTAAATAATTAAAACCAATTCGAAAATATCGAAGTTTAATGTGAATTCTTGTGCCAAACGCTAAAGGAGAATAAAACTAATAAAAAAATTAATTTTAAAAATTAAAAAAACCAAAAATCTAAATCTAAAAAAAAATTGTTCTAAACAAGAAAAAACTAAATAGATTTCATCTCCTTTCAAAACTCCCCTCATTTCAAATAAAATTATTATTTCTTAGTTTTTGTTTGGTTATGAAAAACAAATTTTTTTAATTACATAAAACTAACAACAACAACGTACTAAATATTAGTTAAGTTTCAAATATGAAAAAAAACACAAACTAAAATAACAACAACAAATTATCAAAAACAAAACAAAAAAGGACTTTTGCATGTCCTTTACCAATACTGAGGTTTTCGCCCGAATGCCGACATTTTTATACGAAACTTTTCATTTGTTAATGTTAATTGAAGAAGCAAGCAAATTAAAAACAAAACAAAAACATGTACTTCCGTAATAATTGTATATATTTATAAAAAGGAAATTAAAACAAAAAAACAACACAACAACAAAACAAATTAAAAACTAAAAGTAAGTTAAGAGTACCGTAAATCCAGAATACAACCCAACTCAACATGATGACAAAATAACAACAACAACAACAACAAGAAAATGTTATTCCAATATCTGTATATAGATGTTAAATGTATTTGTGTATGTAATTTTCCAAAAACAATGTTCTAAAACAACCGAAGAAATCTAAAATCCGCAAGAACAACATCAGTAAATTCGCCAAAGTAATCTTCCAGCCACAAGTTATTCGCATTTACCTCAGCTTTATTGCTAAGCGGGAGGGCGGGGCACACATAAAACGTGCCACATATTAGGGGCTCAATTTGTGGCATGTTTAAATAATAACTCTGGCTGTCTATGTTACTTTGGCCCAGCCATCCAACCAAACATGGCAATCCAACTCAACCACTCACTCACTGACTTTTCGATTTCAAATTTCAGTTCATATCGCCATTATTTAGTTTTTGTTAATAGACAGATCGCAACACATTCACACACACACACATAAATTGTAAAACACTGTTTGTTATGCATATTCAAAGGATAAACGGGTTGTTTGAATTACAGTTCCTTTTAAAGCACACACACAGACGCGCCTATACATTCGCAAACACACACATATATATTTCGACATAGCTGGAGGATATATTTTTATTTTCAATATTTGTATAAATTCGAATACATACCTGTTCGCATTTTTCAGGCAAACACACACACACACCCATTTCACAATTCATTAATCAAACATCGAGAAAAAAAATACAACTTTGCAATGAATGGAGATGGAAAATGTAGAAAATTGAATTTTTTTATGAAAAGCTGGAAGTCCCTAACATAATGTTTTCACAGGAAAAAATAAGAATATCCTTATTTTATTGAACTTTTTTTGATTTTGTCAAATACCAAGAAAATTAAGACATTCTCGTTTATATAAAGAAAGTGTTGAAAAAAATCTAATTGATTGAATGACAATATCAAAAAAGCATTCGCAAATCCTTTTTCGATTTGAAATTCAACAATGGAAACTATACTCTTCTTAATTAAAAAAATAAATTTTGGAAACCAATAACACGTAGATTTTCATTTCCATGACAAATATAAAAACTTTCAAAATAAAAAATAAATTCCCAAATCGTCTATATCTATTTTAAAAGGAAACATCTTCGGATTTGTATTAAAATTCTGTACTATAATAAAGTTAAATCTCAAATAAAAAATTTAGAAAAGTTCATATTCACAAAATACAGATTTTGATTACCTGAATATTTAGTTATGTCAAGTAATATACATTTTCGAAAAGCATTTATATATTGGAAAAAATTGGAAATTTCAAAAAACTTCCAGATTTTCAATTAAAAAAAAACAAATCCACTTTTTTCTATTTTAAACGTTGAATAAATGTGTCCAATTACTTCCAATACCAATACTACTTAAATTTAAAAAAACCAGCTTCAGAATTTAGCTTGATGAAAATAAAACCAAAGTTATAAAAAGACTGACAAGTTCATGATACCAAACAAAAAGCGAAATAAAAACAACCCAAATAGATCCAAAAAAAAAACATTCATCCGCATTGCTATAAAAACACAAACTCATAAAAATCGTACCCAAATGTGAATATAAACAAAGTCCTCCTAAGAAATGTTTGTTGTGTACTGCCTTCATAGAACAAAAAAACACAATTTTTGATAATATCCATTATCAATTGAAGAATTAGTACTCTTTTCATCCAAATATTGTACAACATGTTTTTATACACCACAATTCTGTCCACCCAGAACATCTTCTAAATTCAATTCCAAATCAACATTCAAACACACAGTCACATTCACACCCACAACAGAAACCAACAAACCAAAAGAAGAAGAAAAAAACAATATTTTGTAACAATAATTATTAATAAATTAAATAAATTAGCATGTAAGTTGTGTACAAAGTGAACAGCAACAACAACAATGACAAATATCTACAAACAACAAAAACCACAATCTTCCAACAGTCGAACAACGCTTCGAAATGCCTCCTAATTGAAGTGAAACAATTTTTGGAAGAATATCACCAATACATCGACAACTACACACACACTCTTGTGTGAATGATATATGTATGTATCTGTACATATGTACGTATGTGACACGACAAACAGACCAACAACACCACAAAGGAAAGGGAGCTAACAACAACCCAATGGACCCAACATTACCGCCCATGGGACAGACAACCTCCATAATGTCCCTGCAGCATTATGCTGGCGTCGTTGGCTTTGTACGAAACACTTATACAAACACAAATAATAGCATCATTACTAATCGTTTTCTAATAAACTGACAGGATTATTATTTGTTTTTTTTTTTAGAATTTTGCTTAACGAAATAAACCAAAAACAACAAAAACCAAATCAACAACAACAACAACCAAATGAAATTATGCATAGAAAGCAAACTGATTTCAAACAAAATTCAATAATAGTTTTAATTTCAAAACACAATAATTGAAATGAAAACAAACCAAAAATGGAATCAATTTTAACATTTGTTTTTTATAACAAAAACAAAAAAAGAAAATAAATGAAACCCCAATAACAAAAACAAAACAAAGACAGTAAATTAGAATTGTAAGTAAAGACAAAATAAAAACAAAAACAAAAGAAACAACTAAAAATGATACAAATTTGTGTTGGCAAACCAACTAAAACGAACTAAAATTGTATTTTCCAAAAATAAATTTCGCAACACCCTACAAACAAACGAACAAACAGACAGACAATTGAATGACATTAACACTAATTTGTTGTAATAATTCTTAAAAGAATTGAATAATATTTACCTAAATAAATAAAAAAAGCAAATACGATTTGTTAAAGAATTAATAAAAAAAAGACACACACACACACAAGAAGACAATGATACACACACTCACACACAAAAACACACATGAAATGAAATGAAAAAAGAAAATAAATGTATTTTAAATGTTAACTTGGCCAAAAGCTGGACATGCATTCTGTAATCTTTGCCACTCAGTTTCGAAACGCCGATCGCTCTTGTGAAGGTTAACAGAATCGAATCCAGCTGTTGTTTTCATTTATGTATTTTTTCAATATGTCATAAAAGGTTTGTATAATACACTGAACATGAAAGCCTCAGAGATATACAAGTGACACGATATCAAACGAAACCACGATTTACTTCGGAAATTTTTTAATTTATACAAAGAAATGTTTTCTAATTATATAACCAATTTATAATGAACGACGGTGAGTGCACCTCTCAAAACATTAAGCATGAATCAAATCAGATAACCGATGCACCTGAAAAAAAGTTAAAAAATATAACAATTTATGCAGGATGCACCAGATGTAATGTGCCGGTTGGTCCATCTTCGGACTTGGTCTATTTTTGGATCAATTCCGATTTTCACCTAGCTTCGAACAATAATCATTGAATTAATCCCTTGATACCAAAGGAACGCCGAGATGGTTGCAGTTTCGAAAGCTAACGAAATAACTACATCGAGCTAAGATCCCAATAGACCAGTTTACAAAAAAAACCGCATGATACTACCATTTCTTAATAAATTATAGCAAAAATTGGATGGGTACAAATGTACAATGATTACTGATCTATGTAGGTAATAAAAAGTGGAATGATTCCTCAAAGTTTGATGCAAACATCTCAATTATTGAAAATTGAAATAAAAAAGGTAAAATTGTAGGGTTATTAAAAACCCTGGGCCTGTATTTTTCTGCAATTTGTGTGTCTGCCAAAAACCCGGTGTGACAGCCCTTTCGGTGGGAAAAAGTGCCTAACTTCTACAAAATACCGACAAATGGGCGTTACCGTCATATGCGAGCAATACTAAATCGTGGACCGATACCCCATTTGCTACAAAACATCCTAGCAGTAATAGCAAAATCAGTACAAAATGTAAAAGCTTGAACATAAATACTGCAATCTCTATCGGGATTTCAACACACATAGATACATGGCTATATCGACATACATTTTTATTCTTGATCGAAATAATACTTTACTCATAAGATCGACTTTTATGGAGTTATCCATATCCACATCGGTGTTTAAAAC